TTGTCTACAAATATAATTATCAAACTATTATATTTATTAATTAAATCTTGATGTAAATAAAATTGACATATCAACCTTTAATTTTCTAATAAAATTCTATTTAATCAAATGTTTGATTAATTTTCAGAATAAATTAATAGTATATCATTTAATTTTTATGCATACTAACACAAAGTTTTTTATTAAAAAAATAAAACAAAAATTATATATTTATCATATTAATTAAAATTTTTTAATCATATGCAAGCCAAAATAAGATATAAATTATGGAACAGAAAAAACATATTTGAGTTTATTAAAATAAAATAAAATATTAGAAATAAAAGAGAGTGAAGAGAAAGAAAGATAGAAAGTAAGAGCTGCTGACCAATTGCCACATTCTAAGGATTAATGTTAAAGTAATTTTATATATTAAATTATTCAAGAAATCGTAATTTTAATAAGTAAAATTAATAAAATAAAAGATAATTTTGAGATGAGAACGAACAATCAAAAACTGATCTATATGTGCATGTATGTATAGTGACAGGTCAGTAGCTGACCACAAATGGCTGCCGACTGAGAAAAGGATAATGGGGATATATATTAATGGGGATATTATATTATATATATATATATAAATATATATATATAAAAGAGAGGAGAATATATATATATAAAAGAGAGGAGAGCTGATGGCTTAGCAGCCTGGATGTTAAAATTGAAGGGGCCCATGTCCATATATGGAAGCTTCTTTATCAGATTTTAAAGCTGCAATGTGTAAAGTGCACTGAGTTGGGCAACAAAGTGTTGTCGCTGTCTAATTTTTGGATTGAGCCGATAAAAAATGAAATAGACATTTCAAAAAAATATGATATCCGTTTTTATTTAATATTTCATATTTAAAACTTTAATAAAAACTTAAAAATAAAAAGTTAATCCCCGTAATGTTATTTTCAAATTTTGAAACAAATTTCATGGAATAAATATTTTATTCTCTTTATTCCATACTATTATACGAACCATACAAAATCTGGAAAAATAAAAAAAAATATTGAATAAAATGAAAGAAAATCAACAGTAAATATAAAATGATTGAATTATTAGGGGCAAAAAGGATTTTTTAAATTCATCTTGAAATTGAAACAAGAATAATAAAAAATGTGTATCAGTGAAAATTTTATTTTAGATTTACTTTTTAAAAACAATTAAATAGGGCAATTTATTAGTTAAATTAAAAATTATATCACTATTATCCATGTTTTCAATGTAAGTTAGAATTATTCAAACATTGAATTATAAAAAAATACTTGAATTTCTGGATAACTAAATTAAACCGCAAGACGACACTCGACAATGAAACTGATGAAAATAGGAATATTTGGAGTATGCTCAAGTTTTGGATGTGGATATACTGGTTGGATCTCGCTTAGGTGAGTAGTCCGATTCCCAAATGAATTTCTAGATGGGCTTTTGGAAAAGCCACATTACTACCTCACAGCAACCAAAAAAAATTGGGCTAAAAAATTGAGTTTGAGCTCAAACAAGCTAACCTAATGATATTTATAGCGCCATTGCCAGTAATTCGACCATCACCATCTAAAACTAAACATACTCTCGTGTACAGTGTTAATAAGTAATAACTTCAAAAAAATAAAAAAGAAGAAATGAAAACGATAAAAAATGTAGTAGAAGAAGAAAAAAAACTGAATCAGCAAAATTAGACCACTCAAGGTAGATCTTTAGATTCTCTTCCATATCAAAAACTTCTCTAACAAAATATCATTTTGATAAAAAAATTATAAAGATTTAAGGAAAGGAAAATTAATAACAACCCATATTTTAAATGATTTACCATTTGCGTCATTTATCATTTTTCTTTTTGAATAAACAATTAAAAATCACGATTATAACATCATTATAGGGACTTCATGTCAGATTTAAAAAAAAAAAAAGGATAAAACAATCTGAAGTGAACACCCAGATTAGAACATTCATCTAAATTCTTTATTCACAACAATCTGCCAATTTGCAAGATCATCACAAGCCCAGTCACAATCCTCAAATTCAAAAATCCCACAATCCAAAACCAATTTCGTATCAACCGAATGAATTAAGAAAGCCCAACAAGCGCCCGGCAAAAAAAAAAGAAAAAAAAAAAAAAAAAACCAAAAACAGAGTAGTAAAAAAAAAAGAAAAAAAAAAAAAACAAAAACAGAGTAGTTATATAGTAAAACGATAATACCAGGTCAACCACCATAAATTGATCCGTCAATTCAACAAAGATAAGACAACCATCAAAGGTAGATTAAAACTAAGAAATAGAGATCAGCAGAAAATGGAGTCATCAAATCTTTTTTATTTTAGTTCTGGTGTCTCTATTCCACTATATAATTATTGAATAAGAGGCAGTAACAGCAAGGTTTATCAGATCCACCTGTTTAAAAGTGCATACCTTGTAAAGCAAATTCTCATTATACCGAGGCAAAAAGCAAAGATCAAAGAAGAAAACAACATTTTGCTATTACCTTTCATGACACTTCCTCCTATATTTCAAGACATATTTTAGTTAGAAAAGGTTATTTCAAACACAATCAATCCCTTTAATCTATATCTTCCTTCGATCAGTGTCTTCACGATAAGAAAGAAGATGCCTACATTGCAATACTCGTGGAAATTGACTTAAGTTCATTCCTACAAATAAAGTGATCTAAAGATTTGTAGGGAACTCCAATTCGGTTAGTCACAGTTAGCAACATTAGATACAACTTTTTCCATTATACAGAGAATTACTACGCTTACCTTTGCACACAGGTGTCCTTACTCAAACCATTTACAGAAGACAACATCTGTGTTCTTAATCTTTATTTTAGCACCACTATATTCGGACATGTTCAGCTACTAAACTGGATGATATCATCTGAGAATACTGCTTACATTATCAATGTCAATTCATAAAAGAATCCTGAAGTTTTTTGTCACTTTTGTTCTGTCTCTGATATTAGAGGAAAGGGATTCACATTGAAACCTTATATTTGCCAAAAACTTCAGCAGCAAGTGTCTAATCTACAAAGAATTCTTGTAGCAAGACCTTTGAGTACAAGACAAAGTCTTAATGCCCCATAGAATATGCTTGGAACCTAGACTATAATTATTATACAAATGGCATGTAATAGAAGAAGAAATAATATGACAATTAGGATCATATTGCTGAAGAAGAAAATATATGACTAAATACATAAAGCTCGGTAATCTTCAATACCTTACAATTGTTCACTCTAGTATAAAAAAAATTCTTAAAGTCTGTGTATTATTGAAGCAGAAATATTAAAGAACAACGACAGGAAAGCACAAATCTGTATAGAATCTTGGTTAATCATGGGATATTACACTCTACAATCTTGACTAAGCAGTGGCTATGCCCATTTGGCTCACAAACATATTAATGCAGGGAAATGCTTTTCATATATATCCGTAATACCAGTAATGTCAGCCTACTCTGCTCAGACACATTCATCAATTGTTAAAAGGATGATTCAGTTGCCTTAAAAAAAAAAGATCGTACTAAATGAAGAGAGAACCAACCACCTGAAGGAACAAGAATTTGTCCTTGTATCAAATGGCCTGAAAACGAATCACAATTATAAGGGCAACCAGCAAAGTACTCAAAAGGGAATTTGGGAGATAATGATTTTTTTACATATAGCTTAATGCAATTGAATAGAACTACTAGAAGCAATGGCCATATGGATTGAGTATAAGAAACACAGTTGCAATCTGCTATTTTCCATAGTTCCTCATTTATTTTGCAAACAGCTCATTGGAAGAAAAATAAACTAAGCTAGCACCAAATCTTTCCATTGGGAAGACAGAAACAACTCACAAGAAGGAAAAGTGATACGTCAGCTTTGAGGTTTGACAATACAAACCATATCTCCTGCCCAAACACCTACCTCCAACCCAAATCACAAGGAAAACAAACAAGAGAAAAGCTTCTCTTGCAAATTCCAAAACATCAAGAATGCATTTGATATTGAAGTGAAATATCAGATATATTATGCTTTTGCATGATTGTAACATAGTCGCTAGATGCTTATCGTAGTTGCGCTTTATGTTAGAGATTGCAGCAGGTATGAATGTAATTTTCCGAATATTCCCACATTAGCAAATATGTCACACAGTTTGGATATTCCTATAAACAAACAGCCTGTCAATAAATCTTAAGGAATGCAACATTAGAATTGCCAATCATCATGATCTCTTTAGGTTATTATTATTCCAAAACATTACTTTGCAAGAACATATATTCCTCTGGAGAGGCAAATATGAAGAAACCAAAATCCTCCATACATCCCCCATAGTCTAAATGGTCTTATTCCCTTCTATATAAGGATTATCACATTCCATTCATTTACTACCATCCTTACAGTGATTAACTGTATTAGAAATTAGGAAATCAAGGACAAGGATTGTGAAATTGGATATATCGTGGAACTCAAAAAGGACTAGATAAGATCAGGCACTAATAGATTTCAGCGAGTGGATGATCAAGCCTCAAAGGTGATCTCAATCTTAAATCATCCAATTTAGTCCTTTCAAAGGATTTCAAAATTTGGATAAGGCTTATGAGAACTCTAGCCATACAATTGGACAAAACAAAATATGAGAACACTAGCCAACCACTCGCCCCATATTTATGACTTGGTTCATAAAAAAGATACATTAAAAAAGAACACACAAAAAAAAAAGATATATATTTAGTTGTTACTCTTGAAAGCTCGTCCACAATTTATTAAATTTATCCACGTACAAAATTAAACAAAACCAAGAAATCCAACCCAGCTAGCTATCATTTTCAATAGATGACTATCCCATTGATGTATCAATATATTCGGCTTTCAAACAAAAGCTTACCATTCAAGCCCTAGAGTTAGTTTATGGGGACAATCAGAAAAAGAGTTCAGATTCAGAATTCAGCTTGGCAACAGAAAAGAAAAGCCAAGCAGCATAGGACTAAATCATATTAATAATTGGTATTTTGCATTAAAGAAAATTGAAAAAATCACTAATTTCATATAGAACATGTAATTAGGATCAATTTCATGTCAACAAATAACTGAGGAGACCAAAAAAAAAAAAAGAGAAAATGATAAAACTATAACTTAAGCAAACAATTACCAACATCATCAAATTTACCCAAAAAAACCCAATGAGGAAGAAGCAAAGTGGCAATGGCAACAGAAGACGCTTCTGCTCCATCTCGTCTGCTAATTCCATCCCTTGAAAAACAATCACCAAAACTTGAAAATGCAACAACCCATAAATAATTAATCAACAGAGCATCATCATGAAGAGAAGCATCCACATTGTCTCAGTTTTGATCAGTACTAGTGCAATCTCTCGCAAAATGCCCTTCCTCCCCACAATTATAACATGCGCCGCCTCCACCACCAGAGTATCCGCCCCCGCCCCCGCCCCTGCCGCCGCCACCAGCGTATCTCCTATTTCCTCCACCACCACCGCCTCCGCTTTGGTAACAATCTCTCGCTAAATGGCCAACTCTCCCACAATTATAGCAAGCACCACCACCGCTACCGCCATATCCACTGCCTGATCGACCACCCCTTCCACCGGTTCCATAGCCACCATCGCCGCGACCACTATTATATCCTCCACCACCACCTCCTCTTCCCCGTCCGCCATAGAATCCTCTCCCGCTTCCCCCGCCACGGCTGCCACGAGGGGCACGGCGAGATCTGGATACGCCGACGACTTCGACGGCCTTAGTACGGCCATCCTCTCCAAAATCGACGTCGAACTCGACCGGCTGGCCTTCGGATAGTGTCCTAAAGCCATCAGATTGGATGGAGGTCTGGTGAACAAATAGATCCTCGCCGCCGTCATCAGGAGCAATGAAACCGAAACCTTTCTGTGCACTGAACCATTTGACGGTGCCGGTCGACCTCTTACCTTCCGCCATGGAATCTTCTAGAAGAATCTAGAAGTTCTGAGAGTTGGGGTCAGTGAATGAATAGTGAGGCTGTGTTGTGCTGAGGAGTAGTAGGGTTTGCGTGTCAGAGCTTTCGGGTTTTAGTTTTTTGGGTTGGTTAGGGCGGGGACAGACGTGTTGAGATCGGACGGTTCACAATCAATTAGATTGATATCCTACGGTTAATAAACGTTTTGTGGTTTATCCTATGTTGTTTGACCGATCTGCGCCAAATATCACTTTAGTCCATAACTCCTTATCCGATTTCTATCACGACGAAGAAGAAGAATAGTAGTACGAGATTACCGATTTGGGAAATGGCAACAACCGGCTCCGACCGGATGAACTTGACGTGTGGTTACTATTATTTATATTTTTAACTATTAAAATAATTGTATAAATTAAATTTATAATTAAAATATTTGATAAAAATAATTTTATAAATTAAAATATTTAATAAATATGATTTTATATATTAAAGTATTTAATAAAATAATCTATGCATTCTATTTTTTATTTCTAATATATATAAAATTTATACAAAAATGGCTTAAAATATTAACTTGGTGTGGTGTGGCAACTTCAATCCATTTTAACATTCGTGACAGTATATATAAAGAGTTATCCATTTTATAAAAAGTCAATGAAATATGCCATGTAATTCAAATTGAATCAAACTTAGCAGCCAATTGCATAGATAGCGTTGCGTAACTTTACATTTTATATAAAAATGCTTATGGTCTAAGAATGAAGAGAGAAAAAATTTAGTTGAGGAGCAGAGTTGACAAAAAATTAGGTGCTTCAGATTAAGTTTTAATATTCAAATAAAATATTTTATTAATGGGTAAGACTACGATGTGGAATTCAAAAATTTTGTATTGATATAAATTTTTTTTTCATCGTTAGATTTAAAATACTTAAATGTAAACCGTTAGATTGAAAATTTACTGAGTGACTTGTAACCTATTAAGTACGTTTTAAATAAGCTACTTAATGTAATTCTTTTAATTTGAATATAAACTACTGCCTGCAACATGATTATAGAAAAACAAAAATAAATAATTATCTAACATTTAATTTATTCATCCATCTAACATAATCAAATTTTATGTCATGTGTTTTAACATGCCTAGTAATTTCACATCTATTTGATTTAAAAATAGATATTAGTTAACCAAGCAAAAAACAAATGTCATTACTATTAAGAATTTTATGAGGATCTTTTTTTTTTTTTTTTGCTAAATTGATTTTTACAATTATTATAGTCAAAATTTTATATATTATATATACCATTGTATTTTTTGCTTATGCTCTGTTTGTTTCTGTAAAATAATTTGTTGAAAATATTTTTCATGGAAAATATTAATGACTTATTTTTTGTTGCTTGATTGTAATATTGAGAATTGGTTAAAAATATTAAAGTCTTTATCTCATAAGACCATAAAAAATATTATTAATAATAAAATTTTAAAAATTTTATTGTTAAATATGAGAAGAATGTAACAAAAAAAAAAGTAAAATATGAAAGCCATCAGTGGTCGGTGGTGGTGACTGCCGCTTGCCGTGGTGGTGGCCGATAGTGTTAGCCGATGATGGTGATTGATGGTATTTGATGAATGATGGAGTGACTACGATAATTTATTAATAAATTAAAAAATATGAATTTATATGATTTGTCAATGTTCGAAGAAAATATTTTACTCTCTCGAAAATGAAAACTAATTTTATTTTAAAAATGACTTACTTTTCCTTTGCCTAGGAAAATATTTCCTGTTGACTTATTTTCCTGAACGCCCCAAATAACGAAAAATTGTAAAAAATATTTTTTTGTAAATTATTTTATGAAAACAAACGGAGTCTTAATCTTTGTTTAATTTAAAATGTTTAACTATAAATGAAAGTAATATAAATAATGCATTGTTACTTTTAATTTGTAGTTTGGTTAATTTTAGTTTTTTCATTCTAAATTCATCTTTTTTTAAAAAAAAATCCATATTATATATTCATCCATTAAAATGTTTATTTTAATTTTTATTTAATTTAAAATGTCTAATTACGTAAGTTTATAGATTTTAAATTTAACTTGAAACCTTATTCTTATGCTATCTTATAATTTTCATAAATAAAATATTACTAAGTATATATAAATGTTTAAAATTTTAGCACGACTAAGAATTTAAATTATATAAAAAGTTTATATACGATAAATTTCATAAACTTTAATTTATGTAAATCATTATGTTTTGTAGTAATATTTTTATAAATTTAAAAAAGAAAAATAATATAAAAAACAAAGTCATTTTAACTTGTTATGGTAGATGTGTGTAACACATATCATAAAACTAGACTTCTGAATCAATAGAGAATTACTGGATTCTCTGTCGCAGTAAAGGCCTTTATTAATATTGAGTTCGGATCTTAAATCCTTAATTTTATAATTAAATAATACTATAGTACATCTTTGTTAATTTAACCGTTAAAATACTTTTGGTATCGATTTTTTTTTTTAATTTTTTTGAATGGATTGTTGCGTTGTGTGAGCTATGACTAAAATAAAATTATATAGATAAAAAATGGAAAGTGAATTTACAACCAATGGTCATAATCTGCGAATTGTCGGCAGTCACAAAATTAAATATTACATGATTGACAATAAACAAAAAAAAAAAAAAACTAATAAAATTTAGAAAAGTGCATTAAATTAAGAATATATTAGATTTTAAAAGATTTTAAAATTCTAATGGTATTCGATCTAAATTTTTTTTTTGAGTCTATTGAAATTGTGTGGTATTCAATTCAGACAATTATAAAATTTATAAAAATCTGATGGTATTCAATTTTGATTTTTTAAAAGTCCTTACATACAAATTTGATGATATTCAAAAATTACTTATTTGGAAGGATTTTATAAAACCATTGATTTCATTGGATTTTAGAGTACTAAGTATGAATAAAAGAGCCATTCACAAATACATCATCCAACCCAAAGATTTCAAACATCTTTTAAAATCTAACAGAATCTTAATCCAATATACCTCTTAAATAAAGATGGAGACAGGCAGATACCCGCGAATTTTAAACTATCTGTATAAGTATCTTTTTAAAATTTTACTACTCGTATCCGTTATAAACACATTTAAATACTCATATTTGAACCGTTTAAATTTTTACTATCCGTATCTGTCCAAAACCCGTTTAAAGTACCTTTAAAAAGGGTAAAGTACCTGCGAATCTTAACTATCGAAATTTAAATTTATTAAAATACATTTTTTACTAATAATGCATAGGGTACCCGCAGGCACTCACTGCCGAATATGTAACATCCCTTCCCGGTCCACTCGTTAACCCGAATGAACCGAGCCGAGACGCTACAATCTGGTTGAACTTATATCCTGTCATGCTGATATCATCCATCCTGTATGCGAAATATGAATATAAAACACTCCCAATTAAAATTTCAGACTTCCAATATCTCCAACTAATCATCATAACACAACAACACTTTATACAGTCAGTCATAACTGTATAAATCCTCAATAGCATTTAATATCCAGCAAAATATTTGCATTCATGATCTCTATCAAGTCTTCATGACCTAATCATACCAACTATAGTAAAATATTTCATATTCAATCATTTCCTCCAACTACTTACACCATAATAATTACATGCTTCAATTATATTTCCAATCACATAAGCTCTAACAAATGTAATAATCATACATGCCATAAATCTTAATACATGCCATTCTTAATTATACAACTCTCAATCTACTATTGACAAAATACACTTCTGTGATTGGTACTCTTTTAGGTCTCCAAAGTAGGCAACCACACCAAACCGCGTGATAAAAATCGACGCGGCCTGATGTATAAAACTCAGTGGCTGCTCATTAATTTCACATATACTTAACAATAGTTGTGGTGGCCAACTAACTTAAAATTACAAATTCATAAAGCATTTGATCATCATAGAATCAGTAAATTTCAACCATAATATTGTCTCTTCAAGCAACGAATAAACTTCTAATTCATAAACATCAATAATTTTAGTTCTAATTATCTCATAACTCCTTTTAACCATGAACCTGTAATCACACAGTTAATTGATACTAGCATGACTTACGCTGCTGTTCATTGTGTGTTATGGATGAGATCAAATAAACATGTAAGAATACATAACAGTATATGTTCATGCTTACTATGCTACTTCATTATGTTTGTAGACTATGCCAAGCTTTTAGTCACATCATATAAGTTATGATTAATAAACATCTCAACCGAGGCCCAAAGATTCATAACTAAACTTTGTAAGCAATATAGCATATACTTCAGACACCTGACTGTTCCTTTATGCTGTATGAAACCTGCAAGCTTGATAAACTCAGTGATATCACAATGAAAAAAGGAAACATAAAGCCCATACATATGAGAAATAAACAACTCACATATGGAATGTTAAGGCACACATATCATGATACTTTCATTTACCTTGATGATCTTTCTTGCTGTTTTAGCTATACCTGTATGCATTCATGCAAGATGTCAAGGATATCTGTTATTGCTCCATAAGGTTATAGGTGAAACCGAAAGTGAAAGAAAAAAACGTATGAAACTGCGATGACAACTGGGTATGCTTGGCTGCTATGGCCTATATTAATCATATCCACTCCAACGGCGTGTTAGCCGGAAGATTCAAAACTGATATGGGGCGCAGATCTGTATTCTATGTCGTGACATAGCCTTGATTCTACGTGGTTTCTTAACCTAACCTCAAATGGAGCATATTCAATGGAATGACAAATAGATAAAAACAAAAAAAGCATTAGTAACTGTGTCATAATTTGGCATGCTTGTGTCATGTTATTTCACATGCTGTGTTCATTAAAATTTACTTGCATTCAGTCATTTCATAAAATTTTACTGCTACCTGCTAGATCGAAGCCATGACCCAAGCGGCGCCAACTGTGATTCATGTATAGTACACACACATTTGCAATGCTATGCATGTGTTCTTACATGATGTTTCATTGTTGTCTTTGCCTTATAAAAATGTTGAAGAACATACCCAAAGTTGACGATAAAGAAATACAAATTGCAATAGAATTCATAACCAACACCACAACATTCATTTCACCAATGCATTAGAATACAAATTAACAAGTTAGTGTTTACCTTCACATTTCACAATCATTTGCATATGCTGCCATGTTAGATTTAGATGCAATGTCATAATGATGTCCATTGTTTAAATAATGATTGAGGACAAAGAAGCAAAAGTGAAATACAAAATTAACAATATAGCAATAAGAAAAATGAAGTCAAAGATAGCCATGAAAA